TCCACTTAGGATATCTATATCATATATATATATATATATATATATATATATAAAGAAGCAACGAATTTTTATTATAGTTCGTATCATGTAACATTGCGCAGAGAACTTGATGAAGGACCAGGATAAAAGGTTGTGTGCGCGCGCGTCATGGATGTACAGATGACTTAACGTAGTATATGTGCGTTTACTCGCGAAGTGGGGGAAGTGGGGGAGACTGGCGTATTCTATGGGCGGGGCCTCTGCCAGCTGGCAGATGTTTCCCGCGCGGCCGCACCATTCCTCTAGCGTAAACCTACGCGACATGAAAGTAGTCCCTTCTATCGCGTTAAATATTTCTAACAATAGCTCGCTAAGAAGTATCTAGATATACCAGTGATCTGTTGTAAAGCAGTAGGTAGCCTGTTTACAACTACCTGCAGAAAACTGTGGAAACGCAATATGAAACCAAAGATGAGCTGGTGTGGGATTGGTCCAAAGAGAGTCATTGTCCAGGGCAGAGTACGATGTAGAGTTCACCCTAACCGCGTCCATTAAACTTTTCGCGAGTGCCTTGAAAATGGTTTTCGAGCGTTTAATACCGTGAATCTTTGTGCACGTCTGCAATTGTGTACCTGCAAATGTTACTATTGTGTTTTATCAGAATAGAAAATCGAGACAACGAATTTTATTACGCATTCGATTATATTTTCATTTATATAGTTTCACTACTACAGTGTGTGAGTGATATTTCCATCGATAAAGCATCCTGGATAATAATATTTAGTATGTGTCACGTGATGGTTTTGTCGGCATATATGTACAAAATTATCTTATAAATCGCGATGATGTTTATAGGACGATTTATTTGAAATGTAGTACTATTTTATGGAATATTGGACATTATCAATTCATATTTTAAATCTTCTAGTGAAATTTAAGTACTTTGTTAATATTCTTATTTATGCGTATTGATATTAATTCCACTGAACAAATATATACGATTAATTGAAGATATGTTAAAGTGCATACACGATAAAAATAAGTTGTATTAAAAATTGAACGTGTTTGACAACATTTAAAATTTGCAAAGATTTTGTACAAATACAGAGTGACGCATATTTATAAAAGAGAGAAAGGGGCACTGAATGGACCATAAATGGTGACGGCCCTGAAGCCGGTGGCGGAGTGATTCGTGGTACTCTGTGGGGGCCCTCAGCTGTTTCCCGCCAAAGATCGCCATTACAAAACGCGTTCGGGCGTTGTGTGTGCGCCGCGCGGAGTGGCTGTTCCGTGGACGAATCTCGGTGCGTGCCACCGTGGTTTAAAAAATTAATTAACGAGTTCCGGAGAATCCGCGTCATAGGCGTGAGGTGTGCGCGTCATTTTTGTGGAGTGTGCGAGAAAAGCCCGTCGTCTTTTCGCTGCCGCGACGACGGTTGCTGGGACGTGGAATCGCGCGGCGGGATTCTCAGTGTTGCGGACTAACGAGATATGTCAGTGTTTGGTAGTGAGGATCGAATTCTACTTGAAGAAATTGTTGAAACCACCGAGGAACAAGAAACTAATTTGTGCGGGTAAGTTTTTCATAGATTAAACGATTTAAACTAAGCGTGAAAATTTTGAAGTAATCGGAATGTGCAAATGCACACACGGCCATGTGTCGACTCTGAAAATTCGTGTGAGTTACATACGCGTTCGCGTGTACGTCAGCAATATATAGTGTATATAGCAGTTCAGTTTGACATGCCACGTCATTTCTGATTTTAAATATATGGTATAGCGTTTTCTTCGCGAATTCAATAGCTAAGATGACACAAATTTATTGGTAAAGGAAGGCTTGTCCTCCTTATCAAATCATGCCAATTGCGACTGTAATAATGTCTATCACCTTCTCGTTCTATTCGCCATCATGTCGATACCATCGCTAACATCGTCATCACTGTCGACGTCGCGGTGTCATTGGCAAGTCTCGGTAATCGTGACACGGATAAAACGTGTACACAATACAAACAAAATCCTAGTCTCGATAGCCAGCTGTCGTGAAGCCGGCCGGCCGGCCGGCCGGCATAATAGTCTTCATCTTCTATGTGATGCAATTAGACGAGATTATTTCATTCGATTCATAATAATTTTTTTTTATTTTTATTTTAATTTTTCTAGTATCATATTTATTATATACGTGTTAATCGGAAGAATATTATTTATTTTGAATTTATATTGAAGATGTGTCAAACGCATATACCATCGTTCACGCCCAAACAAGCATGGCGCGAGAATCATACTTTAATAACTATTTTTTAGCAATAATAAATATACAATTATTTAAATTCAATCGTAGATTTGAAAATGATTAAATTTTATTTTTTTATTACTTCTTTTTCATTATTTATAATATCATAATAATTTAAATAATGTTTTATAATATTTTATTCAATTAATTTTTTTATTATTTCCAATATTCTTGGATAGTCTATTATATCATATTTAGTAAAAATTGTAATGTATTAGAAATTTAATGTTAATTGTTAAAATAGATAGGTATTGCTATTAGTTGTTTATCATTATTTAAATAATTACAGTTATTTAAACAATTAAAATTTAAAAAGCATATATGCAGTATATACCATAATAACATTTATATTCAGACTTTGTATATATTGTATGTATATATTATTTTGTTTTTTTCATAACACAATACTGCTTCTGTCTCTTTCGATCATTTTTCCGTCATGAATTCGTCAATCAACAAAAGTTTCAAAAAATTTTTATAATATACGATTCTTCACAAATTTTTGTTTACTAACGATAGAATAGATGTGGTTTTTGGTTTTTTTTTTTATATCACTCAAGATAAATGAGAATGTTAGAATTTGAAAAAAGAAGTATTTTACTAAAATAAAGACGGAATAAAGGAAAAAAAAGACGAAAGGACGAGGAAAGCGAGTTCCTTTGTATACGGCCGAGTGACCGACAGACCGGCCAGGGTATACTACGTGCGTTACGTAAAGCCACGTTTGTTGCACAATAATGGGTCTCTATAAATAACTCGAAGCATGCCGCATCGGCGCGACTTCTTGTTTACATACGCTCATCACCGTGCTGCATTACGTTCACTCATACGGGGATGTTTCGATTTATCGTGCCTAGCTTCGTATGCCTACCATTCGGCTACAATCTATCTCACGTATAGACGTGAAATTCACGAACATTGAAACCGTTGACTACTTGTCGATATTACGTATGTAGTTGGTCTCGTATGCTTTCTTTATTCGTCTGGTTTGTTGTTTGACGTGCACGCGATAACGCGTAGGTAATACGTAAAACTATTACTCTTCGCATATATGGTGTAAAGGAACGCTGTACAGTGTACGCCATAATTGATAGAGCTTGAATGAAGCAGTCGCGAGAAAGCAGTAAGAAACGTAGAAAGACATATGCGTATGATTTTACGCTATAAAATTCTCGTTGGAGGTATCAAGCGTAAATTATTACATCAATGTACGCGGCATACCTTACGTTCATGTTCGTATTATATTTATTTATTTTTTTATTTTTATTAATAAGATCAATATGAAAATTTGAGTGAATAATAATGAATATATATTATGCGTATTATGTTATATGAAATGAATTGATTTAATCTTATTTTTTATTTTATTGATTATATGCTTATATTTGAGATACGCTTATTTTATTTTTGTTAATAAAATGCATAATAACATTAAATAGTTAGTGGTATATGTATAGATATAGGATTTGTATTTTGTTTTGTAAAATCTATTTGCAATTTCGGATATATTCTTTTTTTACTAAAATAAATAAGAAATAAACTGAATATCTAATAAGATTAAGAAGTAAATAAATTTAAAATATGATATATACTAGTATAGTATGTATATAAAGAAAACAATATATTTAATTTTTATTATATATATTGTTGTCTTATTTTTATCTTATTATATTTATTATATATATTGTTGTCTTATTTTAAATTTTTGGAAGCAATTTTAAACTTCTTCTGTTTTAATCCAATCTTTTTCCCCTTGAAATAAAAAGAATTGTTCATTTATGATGAGAACATCTGATATGTGTTTATTCTCTCACCACGCGACCTAGTGTATCAGCTGATTAAACGTTCTGCTATTACGTAATCAGACACAATTGATACTTCGCCGATCGTGATAAATTTTCTCTCGTGGTTATCACTGCTTTGCACGGATGGAACGTTTTATGTATATATGTATATAATGTATTATTTTAGTCATTGAAACGATGCGTCACTAATTTATAAATAGTCGGATAATTATGATCAAATATTAACCATTTTTTATTTTTATGCTGGTATAAATATTTGGAATAATCGATGTAAATTTATATTTACTACATTATACTTAATAACTAAAATTTTTAATAGTAAAAAAAATTGAAAACTTTTTGCAATTTTGCCTTATAAAATTGGAAAAATAATTAATAACATGTATAGATCTGTATACACATATTTCAAAGGTTTCCTTCATTCTTTTTTTATTATCTTATTATCGATTAAGTTTCTTTAGTAGTTACAAACTTGCACGGAACGAATTATTATCTAATCTAAAATTTTCTATATATTTTTGGATTATTAGTTTATAGAAAAGAAATCGAGCTGAGGTACATCCGCCTAGTTCTTTTTTTTATTACGCGTTACAGATGAAATTACTGTCGCTCGATGCCCTATCGATTTTCTTTCGGTATTTACGTCAGCTATTCCTTTGTCGGTGTGCGTATCACGCCGCGCTTAGTAATTATTATCACCACATCGTTTATCAACCGTTGGAGAATAAAATTCGCTCCGTTGATGGTACTTTTTCGTTCGCTTATTTGCACGACTTAATAAATCGGTCGAGCCAATCCTGACCACGGTCAATGTGGTTGCACCATATTGTACGTCGTTGCCTTTTTACATATACGTATCTCATACACACCTATAGGTATGCATGTGAATATATCCGTAGCGACTAGTCGGTTGGAGTAACAAAGATAACTAGTTGATGTGCACAGAAAGAGAAAAAGAAGAGAGAGGGCTTGGATTGCGTATTGCATGCACTCGTATTAGGTTAATCTCTGTATATAAGTGCACTTGTACTTAATGTAAGTTTAAATACGTAGTACGAAGTTATTATTATTATTATTATTATTATTATTATTATTATTATTCTTTTTTTTTAGTACTTTTTTTGTTTTCTATTTTTAATTTTTGATTTATTTTTATATTTCAATTATACTATAAATATTAACACGATATTGATCGTATTTAATATTGATAAAATTGTTATTATTGTAGTAATTTGAAATAATTCTTGATATTATAAAAAATTATAATGGTAAAAATTAACTCAAAAAAGTGGGATAGAGTGCGTAATATAAAGATTATTATAATAGTTAAGTATAGTATAATATAGTATTTAATTATAGTATAGTATTTAATATTGATAAAATTGATATTATTATAATAATTTGAAATAATTCTTGATATTATAAAAAATTATAATGGTAAAAATTAAATGAAAAGTGGGATAAAGTGTTTAATGTTTTTGAGATTTATAATTTTTTTCTTTTAATTCATTGTCGAAATGAAATAAAATATTTTTAAATTTATATAATTAGAGAATTATGAAATGGAAAACTGGTATGATTTGGATTTATGATAAACATAAACCACATTGTTTACATTTATCATAAACCCAAACTTGCGTATACCATGATAATTCTTATCATATCTATTAGACTATAGTCTATGTTTTCTAAAATAATAAGAAACATTACATATGAAATAGAGAATATTAGTTAAGAAATATGTTGTAATTACTTTTGACATCATTGAAAGGTTAATATAAATAAAATTTATCTAAAATATTTATTCATTATAGATTTTTAATTTTTACTTGAATGAATATTTCTATCATTCATTATAAATGAAAGAATAAGACAAATATTGGAAAATTGATTAATTTCTCAGATTTCTTATCATTAATTTTTAAAATATAACAGAAAACAGAAAACAATATAATGAAACGAAGAAAATCAAAATATATCGAAATCCGATTAAATAATCTGATATATTTATATATTATATATATTATAATTTGATAAATTATTAAATTTATTAATAATAGAAAAATTATAGTAGTTTTAAATTATCTATTATTTTTTATAGGAATAACTATATAGACATAAATATACAAGTATCTGTTTATTCTTTTTATTCATTTACTTATATGTTTATTGAAGAATATATATTAATTTTCAAAATTTTATTAAAATGTCTAAAGTAAGTTTTGTAAATTATTTTTGATAAAAAAAATATTTTTATATATAAAATTTTCTGTTTGAAATGATTCAAATATTATTCATTTTATTTAAAAAGTTTTGATATTTTTAAACATACTGATTTTTGAATCATATAGTAAATACTTGATAAGAAACTGGAATTCGTACAAAAATTTTTTTGCGATCATGGTTAATTATAGAATTGGGTAAAGTGAGATAACGTGTTTTATCGAGTTGGCCCGATACGTTTTCTTACAAAATCATA